AAAAAGAAACGTGTGAACGAATTAAGGAATAAATATAGCTTTACCTCGAAAAGATACAACCATGGCAATTCACGTAAATACGCTTAGATAAATAATTTGGACAATTTTAGCTTGACAATTGGAATTTTCTACTTCAGATATCATCCTTCGCAAAATAAGAATCTGTCAGTTCAACTAGAACAGCAAAAGCGAGATTTTCTCAGTTCCAGTTATACCAACACACTCCTAATGTACTAAAGTACAGAAGTAAGGGTACATTCAGCGAAACAACGGGACGTTACAATTACAATGCATGTAAAATTGTACCTTATTTATCCTCTTTAGTTAGTTCCCTTTGGTTTCTAAATTTAACTTGTATTTTGTTTGCAAGATATTTTTTATGATTACTCTGTAAGTGTATACCCACACGAGTAACGGTGTAATAAATATTATTATGGATTGAAAAAGACAAACGGTGATTCTGAATCGGGACTCGTTAATTTGGAAGTTCCAAAACGAATTGTAATTCAACAGTGGTACTGGATTTAATTAAGAGGTATTAGCTACGTACAAACGCGACTACGACAGACCTGTGGCTCCGGGTAAATCTCCCATTAACTCGCTCCCCACCATATTCTTTTTCCAAAAATCACCCCAAAATGAAGGAGATTTTTTTTGTGGAAGTGGTGTTTCCTTAATTACTGGAGACAACGAGAAAACGGACCTGCTGTTGCTAGTTTTCGCAACGGTTGAAAACCGTGTACATTTTTTTACGCAAAATTACGGGCAGTCAGGCCTATTTGTTTTGATGAAGACGCAGTTCGTTAAGTTCACCAAAGTTGTGAGTTGTGAGAAGTTTAACGCGTGTCCGATTATGGGCTTACCGGATGCGTGCATGGTAATATGTCCAAACAAGCTTTCTTTTTTTGAGGGATTTTGTTTTATTTGTTTCATTGTGTTTATTCGAATCCATTTTGCGACCCAGATATAGTTTTGATGTCAGATTTTTTTTCATTCGTGGCATTTTGGGTGTTAATCAAAGGTAGTGTAATAAATTCTTTGTACGAGGAGAGACGATCAAATTCTGAGTTTTAATTTTTATTTGTTTTGAGCTAGCTAGACAGGTGCTTTTTGGGTTGTGTAGTGAGTAGTGACCGCATGTCGTTGCACACAGCACTATATATACTAATGCGGATAATTATACCTATAGACCATAACAGCGATCAATTAGCGAAACCCCGAAGTCTCTAGGTGGCACAGGGGCCGAGATCTCGATGGAACAGACAGACAGACGACGGAAAATCGAGCTCATTAGCGTTACCTCAACTTCGTTATGTACGTTAAAAAATTACACCTCGGTAACCCAATAAAAACGGCGATTGATTCGAAATTTCGAACCCAGTATAATTACTTCATTTAATTAAAAAAAATGATCGTAAAGAAGGCTGAAAGTAAATAGCACTCATTGTACAAAAATTAGATCGTTATTACAAATGTTGCAATTTAAAATTGGCAAATAAAATACCACTCTAAAATGACCACAGCTTAATTAAAATAAGGGCCACTCTGTCGTGCCAAAAATGAATTTCACTTTTCCCTGTTCTCATATTCGCCGCTGATCCCCGGATACAATTAGCTACGATAGATTAGTGCCGTGGGAACGAAATTGAGAGGCAAAAAGCGACATTTAAAAAAAATGAAATTCATTGCCGCACCGTTTTAATGTACACCGATGGGAATAATCGTAGGGTGGCCATAATGGCGGCCGTAACTTTTTATTTTTCAAACTTGAATGGAACAGATGTAAAAGGGAATCGTCAAAGTTCATACTAAATTGTAATATTAATTTAAAACTGCTCCGAATAATTATTTCATTTCGTTCCCTATTGATTTCGAGTAACAGATGGTCTCGGTAACCACCCCTTCAAATTATTCCAAAGTCAATTATCTTATTTCGCTGTAGAACTTGCCTTTCAATTGACGTTTAAATCTGTGGTCCTGGTCCTACCTATACATATTTTATTACCCTTTAAAAAGTGGTTTTGTGATTAAACTTCCATTACGATAACTTGACCACTGTCATCTTACAAGAACAATTTAGAATTCTAGCATTACGTCGTAGTGGAGGTTGTGGTCCAATAGTCATTTACTGATTAGAAAAGTAATAAAACGTTCGTTCTTCATCCAATTTGTTACAATAAGGCCAGCTTCTTTTTGAAAAAGTATTTGACAAGTTTAAATGTTACCTTCATATATGAAATCAGAATTTTCGGACTGTGCATCATATTCGCTTTTGGACACCTTTAATCGAATAGTTCTGGCATTGTGAGTTCGATTGGGAATCGTTTTCTTTCTTGGATTTGGTTTACCACGGCTAACGTGTTAAAAATCTTCACCTCAGGAATATAACAAGGTAAATAAATTAAACAAATATAGCAAACGAGCTCCTGGGTATGGCTATAGCATGTGCAAAACCAAATTTTAAACCTGATGTTAGTTTTGCTTTTATTTAAAGTGTATATGTATGAAATTTCATTTGAATGCCTCCATAAATAAGCTGCGCATGCGCAAAACCAAATTTTGAAACTGGCGTTAAATTTGCTTTTATTCCAAGTGGCTATATATCAAATTTCATTTAAATACCTTCATAAATAAGAAAGTTT